GCTTTAAGTAGTTATCGACCGGAATACCTGCATCCTGCATGAAATCCCATATCTGTTTTAATCTAGGCAGAGAATATTTAAACAGTTTTCTATGCACAATTACATACTCTGAAATTAGTTTTGCTTCGTTTAGTAAAAAGTCTAAAACACTTATCAGTTTATGTGTTTTGATGTTACGCAGATATAGACAAGATGACAGATAATTAGCTTCTCTTTCGTCACATCCAAGTCTTATTTGCAGAATCTCAGATCGACCTTTACATCCTTGTAATGCATCGAGCTCATCACACATGTTCTTGTATCCATTATCAAATATTTTGCCACTACAGCCCAAATAATTAAAAACTTTGTCTTGACTTCTGACAGGATTGTCAGTCAACAAGGACCTAGCATGTAACAGCTCCAACCTCCTGTTGAGTTCCTCGTGTGAAGTGTGGAACAATGGCCTTACATTTGTTGTGATTAGAGACAAAGGTAAATTGTAGGACAACAGTAAGTTTACTTTTTGCTCTAGCAGTGGTATAGACATGGTTCCCAAACCTGAATGTTGAGAAATAAGTGAATCAACATCCTTTTGATTGCAACGAAATATCTGAGCAATACGTTCAGATTTATTGGCACATCCCTCTAGTGCATCAAGCTCATCACACATGTTCTTGTAGGCGACATCAAATCTGCTGCTATTTTGTACCAAATAATTAAAAACTTTGTCCTGACTTATGACAGGATTGTCAGTCAACAAGGACCTAGCCTGTAACAGCTCCAACCTCATGTTGAGTTCCTCGTGTGAAGTTTTGAACAATGGCCTTACATTTTTTGTGATCAGAGACAAAGGTAAATTGTAAGACAACAGCAAGTTTACTTTTTGCTCTAGCAGTGGTAGAGAAATGGTTCCCAAACCTGGATGTTGAGAAATAAGTGAATCAACATCCTTTTGATTGCAACGAAATATCTGAGCAATACGTTCAGATTTTTTGGCACATCCTTTTAATTCATCAAACTCATCACACATGTTTTTGTAGGCGACATCAAATTTGCCTCTACTTTCTCCCAAATAATTAAAAACTTTGTCCTGACTTCTGACAGGATTGTCAGTCAACAAGGAACTAGCCTGTAACAGCTCCAACCTCCTGTTGAGTTCCTCGTGTGAAGTGTCGAACAATGGCCTTACATTTGTTGTGATCAGAGATAAAGGTAAATTGTAGGACAACAGCAAGTTTACTTTTTGCTCTAGCAGTGGTATAGACATGGTTCCCAAACCTGGATGTTGAGAAATAAGTGAATCAACATCCTTTTGATTGCAACGAAATATCTGAGCAATACGTTCAGATTTATTGGCACATCCTTTTAATTCATCAAACTCATCACACATGTTCTTGTAGGCGACATCAAATTTGCCTCTACTTTCTCCCAAATAATTAAAAACTTTGTCCTGACTTCTGACAGGATTGTCAGTCAACAAGGATCTAGCCTGTAACAGCTCCAACCTCCTGTTGAGTTCCTCGTGTGAAGTGTCGAACAATGGCCTTACATTTTTTGTGATCAGAGACAAAGGTAAATTGTAGGACAACAGCAAGTTTACTTTTTGCTCTAGCAGTGGTATATACATGGTTCCCAAACCTGGATGTTGAGAAATAAGTGAATCAACATCCTTTTGATTGCAACGAAATATCTGAGCAATACGTTCAGATTTATTGGCACATCCTTTTAATTCATCAAACTCATCACACATGTTCTTGTAGGCGACATCAAATTTGCCTCTACTTTCTCCCAAATAATTAAAAACTTTGTCCTGACTTCTGACAGGATTGTCAGTCAACAAAGACCTAGACTGTAACAGCTCCAACCTCCTGTTGAGTTCCTCGTGTGAACAATACAGAGGTCTCGGATTTTCTGTGATCAGAGACAAAGGTAAATTGTAGGACAACAGCAAGTTTACTTTTTGCTCTAGCAGTGGTATAGACATGGTTCCCAAACCTGGATGTTTAGAAATAAGTGAATCAACATCCTTTTGATTGCAACGAAATATCTGAGCAATACGTTCAGATTTATTAGCACATCCTTCTAATGCATTAAGCTCATCACACATGTTCTTGTATCCAATATCAAATCTCTTGCCATCACATTCCAAATAATTAAAAACTTTGTCCTGACTTCTGACAGGATTGTCAGTCAACAAGGACCTAGCCTGTAACAGCTCCAACCTCCTGTTGAGATCCTCGTGTGAAGTTTTGAACAATGGCCTTACATTTGTTGTGATCAGAGACAAAGGTAAATTGTAGGACAACAGCAAGTTTACTTTTTGCTCAAGCACTGGTATAGACATGGTTCCCAAATCTGGATGTTGAGTAATAAGTGAATCAACATCCTTTTGATTACAACGAAATATTTGAGCAATACGTTCAGATTTACTGGCACATCCTTCTAGTGCATCAAGCTCATCACACATGTTTTTGTATCCAATATCAAACTCCTTGCCACCCCGTCCCAACAAATTAAAAACTTTGTCCAGACTTCTGACAGGATTGTCAGTCAACAAGGACCTAGCCTGTAAGAGCTCCAACCTCCTGTTGAGATCCTCGCGTGAAGAGTGAAACAATGGCCTTACATTTGTTGTGATCAGAGACAAAGGTAAATTGTAAGACAACAGCAAGTTTACTTTTTGCTCTAACAGTGGTATAGACATGGTTCCCAAACGTGGATGCTTTCTTATAAGTGATTCAACTTCATTTTGGCTGCACTTGAATATTTTACTAAGTGAAAAATAAATTTCTCTTGACACTTGGGCTCTTTGATTCTTATCGAAACTTTTTACTTCATGTTGTTTTATTGTTTGTGAGTAAAAATACTTTTTAATTTGTATTTTAGGAGGAAAATATTCATTATAGGACAATATGGAAGTTCCACACTTCGTTAACAGTGACTTAGGGCACGTTTTAAACACTCCCCTTATAAGTAATGAAGCCATTTCGCATGATTATTGTTCACAATCAGATAAGTTTAGCTTGTGAATTCCAAAAAGTCATAAAATCATATGTGTATCTGCAAATAAAGTTATAAACGTTATATAATGACCGTCTTTTGTTTAATAGGACCAAACAAGAGTTGTTAAAATAGATTTTACATTTGTCTCACGCGAGTGGTCTAGATAGCGTTTTATTTATATGGATAACTGTTGACATTTAATATGTGAAACAAACGATAACTATCGCAAACATTTTAAATGTATTAATAATGTAGAAGATCTTGTAAAAAGTTTATTTCATTAAAACTGTTTTTCTAAACCAACAGTCAAGTCGATGGTCGATATTATTGATTATTTTTTTCCAATAAAAGAAGATTGCAATAATATAAAAACTAGAACGGCATTTAGGCCAGATTGTTCCAATACCATGTTCCAAAAAAAAAACCTTCACAAAAATGTCCCAATTTAAAAAAAAATATATTTAATGATATACAACATGCTTATTGACGAATTTGTAATTGTAATAATTACATTAAATTTGCGCAAACAAAAACAAGTTTGTAACAATTTTGAATTTACGTTATTTAAAATAAACCGGGAGTGATCTCCCCTAAACTTTCTCGAATATTCTTATATAACTTGGAATATAGACATGATTTTTAATTACTTAAAGTTTTAAAAATAGAATAGAATATCATAGAATTGCGCACCAAGCGAATGCCAAAACAAAATTTGCATAATAGTGCATAAATTAGTACTTCCGGTCAACGGAAATTACTCAAAATGTGAAAGAAAGTAGAGAATTAGATCTTTTACTTACATGTGAATTTTCATTTATCTATCTGAAATAGTACTCAAATTATAGGCTTTTGGAAAATTCAAAGTAGAAAAAGTACCACTTCCGTTAATCGAACATCGCCCAAAAGTTTATAGGGATCTACAATTTTGATAAAATACCTATATATGAAATTTCATCAACCTAGCTGTAACGGTACTCAAGTTATCGTGTTTACACACGGACACACAGACAGACAGACAGACAGACACACACAGACACACAGAGATACGGGCAAGATTGCAAAGTTATGTTTTTCCGGATCATTGAGTTGTAAAACGTCGAGATTTGTAAAAATGTCGATTTTTATTTTCCACGATTACAAGACTTTCTCTATACTTCGTATATATACGAGAAAGTAAAAAATGCATTAATGTTTACTTTTTAAGAAGCATTTTTTAAACGTACACACTAAATGTGGGCTTTAATATTTCTTCAGGCAATCATCCAGTTAGAAAGTTGACTTTTTGAGACGTATCCCACACGCACGATATATGCGATACAAGACAAAACATTTCATATGAAAAAAAATCAAATTGTATACAAAAAGATTGTGTGGGTACATGCAGTTAGGTTTAAAAAGCCTTGGCATCTTTATATTAAGCCAGTATCGCTTGTTTTGGGACCTCAACCAGTGACACCACATACGACAATACACCAACGTGAAACAGTGCATATTTATTTGATTAATCAACTGATGACTGTTTTATAAATCGAAAAGTCACATTGATATTATCTAGCTGTTATAGGGGGGGGGGGGTGAAAAAAGGGAAGATAATTAATTGTATAATCCATCATGGCACGACACCATTAACCAGAAGTGTGGTCAAACCCTAAATAACAGCACCGCGAGACATCCGATCTTATGACGACACGGCTAGCAATAAAAACAAAATACATATTTTGATCACTTTTATTTCTTAGTGCAAATATCCATTAGATATTTGGCTTTCGGGAGAGTGTCACATTCGACTAAACGAACTAGTGTCTCTTTAAACAGAAGTCAAAAACTCAGTTTCAATACATCTCGCGTCGATCGGTGGTGTTAGTATTTATTGCAAACATACCAGTCTATCGGTCTACAAACTTTCTTTACAAATATAATGAAATAAATTTACAGCTGCAATGCAACTAAATGATATTTAAAAAATAAATAAAAAAATATTATAAACGACGTCACTTTGTTAGGTGTGTGATAAGATGGGTGTGGAGGTGGATCAAAGGGTCACATTGTTAGGTGCGGGACAAGGTGGGGGTGGAGGTGGGGATCAAAGGGTCACATTGTTAGGTGCAGGACAAGGTGGGGGTGGAGGTGGGGATCAAAGGGTCACATTGTTACGTGCAGGACAAGGTGGGGGTGGAGGTGGGGATCAAAGGGTCACATTGTTAGGTGCAGGACAAGGTGGGGGTGGAGGTGGGGATCAAAGGGTCACATTGTTAGGTGCAGGACAAGGTGGGGGTGGAGGTGGGGATCAAAGGGTCACATTGTTAGGTGCAGGACAAGGTGGGGGTGGAGGTGGGGATCAAAGGGTCACATTGTTAGGTGCGGGACAAGGTGGGGGTGGAGGTGGGGATCAAAGGGTCACATTGTTAGGTGCAGGACAAGGTGGGGGTGGAGGTGGGGATCGGAACGACGAACTGCTAGGTGTGTGATAAGTTGGGGGTGGGGATGGGATCAGAACGTTACACTGTTAGGTGTGTTACACGGTGGGGTGAGGGAGGGGATCCGAACGTCACGCTGCTAGATGCGTGACAACTTGGGGGAGGGGATCAAAACGTCACACTGCTAGGTGTGTGCTATGTTTTTAGAGGGGTCACACTGTTAGGTGTGTGACAAGGTGGGTTGAGGGATCAGAACGTCACACTGCTAGGTGTGTGACAAGGTGGGGGAGGGGATCAGAACGTCACACTGCTAGGTGTGTGACAAGGTGGGGGAGGGGATCAGAACGTCACACTGCTAGGTGTGTGACAAGGTGGGGGAGGGGATCAGAACGTCACACTGCTAGGTGTGTGACAAAGTGGGGGTGGGGGAGGGGATCAGAACGTCACACTGCTAGGTGTGTGACAAGGTGGGGGAGGGGATCAGAACGTCACACTGTTAGGTGTGTGACAAAGTGGGGGTGGGGGAGGGGATCAGAAAGTCACACTGCTAGGTGTGTGACAAAGTGGGGGAGGGGATTAGAAAGTCATACTGCTAGGTGTGTTACAACGTTGTGGGGAAGGAGAGGATTAGAAAGTCATACTGCTAGATGTGTGACAACGTTGGGGGGAAGGAGGGGATTAGAAAGTCATACTGCTAGGCGTGTGACAAGTTGGGGAAGAATACAGAACACTGCTAGGTTTGTTAAAAGGTGGGGGTGAGGGACGGGATTAAAAATTCACACTGTGTGACAAGGTGGGGGAGGGGATACGAAATCTACACTGTTAGGTATGTGATACGGTTGGGGTGGGGACAGTGGTGTAGCGAGGTCGGGTGTCACCCGGTGCGGCGTTTAATGGTTTCACCCCCTAGAGACGTAGCGACCCTTCCCGGGGACAAACTTTCAAATTTTCGATGTGCACCCCCCTCAAACTTTCGATTTGCACCCTCCCCCCCACTCTTCAAGTTTTTTTCTATATATTTTGCTATTTTTTGCCTTGGTGTCACCCCCCCCCTAAATGGTGTCAACCGGTGCGGTCCGCACCCCCCCCCCCTCGCTACGCCCCTGGGTTGGGATAACTGCTAGGTGTGTGATACGTTTGGGGTGGGGATCAGAACGTCACACTGCTAGGTGATCTCTGTGGATAGTTTGAAAAAGAACTCTTAACTTAATTTGTTTTATCCTTATTAAGAACCAACATATAGGAATAATTAGCATTACACGATCTGGTCGGAGAAGACGAAACTGAAAAAAATGTTTTTGAAATTTTATCTACCTACAATTTGGCAATATACAATTTTGTCTACCTACAATTTTGGCTACCTACAATTTAGACTATATTTACCTACAATTTTAGCCACATACAATTTCGACTACCTAATAATTTAGACTACCTAAAATTTTGGCTTACTATAATTTTGGCTACAAACAATTTTGGCTACCTACAATTTTGGCTATCTATAATTTTTGGCTACATACATTTTGGCTACCTACAATTTCGGCTACCGACAATTTTGGCTACCTATAATTTAGACTACTTATAATTTTGGCTACCTACAATTTTGGCTACCTATAATTTTGGCTAACTACAATTTTGGCTACCTACAGTTTCGGCTACCTACAGTTTAGCTACTTATAGTTGAGGTCAACTACAATTACTATTCTTGATGCCTACAGTTGTGGCTACCTATAGGTGTGACTACCTTTATGTCTGCCTACAATTTTGATTTGGTCGGAGAAGACGAATATAAAGAAATTTTTGCATTGAAGAGGGATGCAAACAATTTTGGCTACCTACAATTTTGGCTACGTACAACTTTGGCTGGATTTACCTACAGTTTTAGCCACATACAATTTCGGCTACCTACAATTTTGGCTACCTATATTTTTGGCTTACTATAATTTTGGCTACAAACAATTTTGGCTACCTACAATTTTGGCTACCTATAATTTAGACTACTTATTTATTTTGGCTACATACAATTTTGGCTACCTATATTTTTGGCTCACTATAATTTTCGCTACCTATAATTTTGACTACCTATAATTTTGGCTATCTACAATTTTCGCTACCTATAATTTTGGCTACCTACAATTTTGGCTACCTACAATTTTGGCTACCTACAGTTTCGGCTACCTACAGTTTAGCTACGTATAGTTGAGGTCAACTACAATTACTATTCTTGCTGCCTACAGTTGTGGCTACCTATAGGTGTGACTACCTTTTTGTCTGCCTACAATTTTGATTTGGTCGGAGAAGACGAAAATAAAGAAATTTTTGCATTGAGAGGGATGCAAACACTTGTGGCTACCTACAATTTTGGCTACGTACAACTTTGGCTGGATTTACCTACAGTTTTAGCCACATACAATTTCGGCTACCTACAATTTTGGCTACCTATATTTTTGGCTTACTATAATTTTGGCTACAAACAATTTTGGCTACCTACAATTTTGGCTATCTATAATTTTGACTACCTATAATTTTGGCTACCTACAATTTTGGCTACCTACAATTTTGGCTACCTATAATTTAGACTACTTATTATTTTGGCTACATACAATTTTGGCTACCTATATTTTTGGCTTACTATAATTTTCGCTACCTATAATTTTGACTACCTATAATTTTGGCTATCTACAATTTTGGCTACCTATAATTTTGGCTACCTACAATTTCGGCTACCTACAATTTTGGTTACCTATAATTTAGACTACTTATTATTTTGGCTACATACAATTTTGGCTACCTATATTTTTGGCTTACTATAATTTTCGCTACCTATAATTTTGACTACCTATAATTTTGGCTACCTATAATTTTGGCTACCTAAAAGTTTGTCTACCTACAGTTTCGGATACCTACAGTTTCGGCTACCTACAGTTTAGCTACGTATAGCTGAGGTCAACTACAATTACTATTCTTGCTGCCTACAGTTGTGGCTACCTATAGGTGTGACTACCTTTTTGTCTACCTTCAATTTTGATCTGATCGTAGAAGACGCAACTGAAAGAATTGTTTGCATTGAAGAGGGATGCAAACAATTTTGGCTACCTACAATTTTTACTACCTACGATTTTGGCTACCTACAATTTTGGCAACCTATAATTTTGTATGTGTGTGTCTGTAAACACGATAACTTGAGAACCGTTACAGCTAGGTTGATGAAATTTCAGATATAAGTATTATATCAAAATGGTAGATAAGTATCAACTTTTGAGCGATTTCCGATAACCGGAAGTGAAACTTTTTCTACTTTGAAATTTAAAAAAAAGTATAACTTGAGTACTATTTCAGTTAGATAAATGTAATTTCACGTGTAAGTAACAGTTCTAATTCTTTGCCTTCTATCAAATTTTGAGTAATTTGTGTTGATCGGATGTAGTCAATTTCGCTATTTCAGATTTCTCGAAAAACGCATAATATTTCGCACTATAATGCACATTTTATTCGGCGTTCACTTGGTGTGCAATTTTTTTTCAACGAGATGTTATTCTATTTTAAAGTTTAAGTATTTAAAATGGATTAAAAATCATGTCTATATCCAGAGTTGCCATCCCCTGTTGTTTCACACTAGAATATTAGAGAAAGTTTAGGGGAGATCACTCCCGGTTTATTTAGTAAAATTATAGTTAGAGATTCAGGGGAAACCACTCTAACTTACAGATGGCCGCTTTTTATATATTAAATCTTGCTCGCAAACACTGCCGTTTAAAGTTAATTTCTGGCTAATATTAATATATTTAGACATTGATTTTGATTTAGTATTCAGTTACCTATAAAATACTTCTATAGGGATGGTAAGTAGGTCACCAACCAGTTATATTGCTCATGCAGTATTTATTGAGCCGTAGAACTGGTTGGTGACCTACTTACCAGCCCTATTAGCGTACCGGTCCACGCGCGTTGCCGCGGGAATAGGCGCCGCGTACGGCCCCTTAAAACTAACAGGCGCCATCGTACCAAATAGCATCCTGTTAACAATGATGCAGATTGCGTCATGCGCTAAAGTGACACGAATGAATATGATTTTTTCTTTAACACGTACACAAATTATTTGACGTGTTTTAAACAGTGTGCCTGATGCAATATGTTAGCGTTACTAATGGTCGATTATTATTATTATTATTATTATTATTGTTGTTATTATTATTATTATTATTATTATTATTATTATTATTATTATTATTATTATTATTATTATTATTGTAATTATTATTATTATTATTATTATTATTATTATTATTATTATTAATTTTCTTATTTTTTGTAATGATTAATATATAATGATCAGACCCGCGGCATATCATACGCCGCTATTTAGTTGTTTTATTTTCTACTTCGCAGTAATTCATAATTTGTGAATTCGACACTACCAATGTTGCCACTGAAAATATTTGCTTTAAAACACTATCAGTAGGTCGTTAAGGACGATAACCCCCTGTCCACCCTACTTTCCCCAACCCCTACCCTAACCCCTCCCCCCCCTCCCCGTGAAAGCAGCCTCCTTTTAGTTACCTCCCCTAAGTTAAACATTGTTTCAAACTAAATTATCTGCCCCTAATAGCCGGCTATACGATTGTAAATATTTAGCGTGAACCACCAGACGATGTGGGGGTGGGGGTGGTAGCGATATACCTAGAGTGGAAGAGAGGGGGCGGCTAGGCGCGCTTACAGCTTGGTGTTTTCCAGTGCATCCAAGAAATGAATTTTATTTATATAGATTGGGTAATCTATAGTTTTAGGTACGTAAAATCGCCCGCGACTAATTATGTGAAAAACAGGTGACCCCCTTAAATTTTAATACTTATTTCACATTTTCAGGAAGATTTATGTTTTGAAAAATACAAAAATGTTTCCTTGTTTCATTTATGTACCTCTTTTTAAACAACAGAATTAAAACATTTCAGTAATAAATGAAGACTAGCGATGTGTCCAACAGATGCAATCATGCTCATTTACTATAGCAGCCATCTTGTTTATTTTTTATTATAAACTTATAGCGCAAGATT